ATTTTGGGAATGAGGTGAAACTCTGCTGACTTTCATCGTCAAATCATGTGCAAGCAGGAAATACTACCGTATTTTTTTTATCCCTCGCTCATGATATTCTTTGCACAGTGAATTTCACCACATTCACTAAGCTAAGGATACATCTTCTTGCAAAGTGAACAGCCTATTTGTCTAAATCAACCCACTGTATCCTCTTGAAGATTCTTTCCACTCAAATCAGCCCGATGCTTCATTTGAGTTTGACAAACCTGCATGGAGGGTGCAAGATACAGAAGTGCTGTATATTGTGGGACCTCTAGTGGATTCCCTGGAGCAATATATGAAGAAAGGTAGCTTGACTGAAAAGCCAAACTTGGCCTGTTGGTGCTGAAGTTGAAAGAGGTCTCCCCATGGGGGCAGTAAATACAGCAGCTCCATGGATTAAACCCTTCCCTACCAATAGATACAGATGCACACATTTACGACAGGCAGTCTTGTAGCACTCATTCCACCATTGCTTCAGTTGGGATCAGCTGGGCTATGTCAGAAAAATGAATTTTCAGAATGGCAAGCTGTTAGTATTGAGTCAGAAAGGAAAAAGAGTGACCTTTTTTTATGGGCATCTTAAATGTCTAAAAGCATAGACAGTAAGTATAGGGAAGACATTAAAGGACAAGTACAGCCAAAGCTCTCTTGGCTGTACTTCTCCTGTGGATCACAGGAGTGCAGTTTATGCTGAAGCCCAGTGTTGGCTGACATCACTCAGCCAGGCCAGGCTGGGGAAAGATCCCGACTTTAAAGTCAGGATCCACCCCCAGCATCTGGAGTGGCACATTGCTCCAACCTCTCAGCAGTCCACTCCTCCAGAGCTCAGCGCTCCAGTGAGTGTGAGTGGGGGGGCGGGCAGTCAAGCAGACAGCGGTCTGACTGTCAGTCATCGCTCTCTGCTCAGAGCAGCTGTCAGAACTCAGCGGTCATGTGATCACTGAGTTCTCACGCTTAGAACTGGTGGGGACCTATGTTGCATCCCCCTAGGTTAGTATGATTAAAAAAAAAAAAAAAAAAACCACCCCATATTTCTCTTTTAAAGCGGAACTTCAACCAAAAGGGGAAGTTCTGCTCTTCCTCCTCCTTCCCCTCTCCTCTGCCACATTTGGAGTCATTTTTTTTTTGGGGGGGGGGGGGAGCAGTTACCTGGTTTTATTAGGTACAAGCTCCCACTTCCATTTGGAGCATCGTAGTGGATCCATCAGAATGTCCCCCCCCCCCCCGCAACCTTCTGGGACATGTCAGAAGTCCCAGAAAGCTGCGGGGCCTTTTGCAAGATGTAGCATGGCTTGCACATGCACAGTGGGAAACCGGAAGTGAAGTCGCAAGGAGTCATAGCTGGCTGCCCACAAGTAATATGTCGGCGCCAGGGACCCAAAGCCCGGTGAAGAACCGGCCCGGGTGAGGACGGCGCTGGATCCTTGGTGAGTGTCTATTTATTAAAAGTCAGCAATTTACACTTTTTGTAGCTGCTGACTGTTAATTTTTGCAGAACTGATGGAAGCGCCTCTTTAATGCATTCTGGTTCTTATTTCTTTTGAAGGCTATGAAATGTGAGAACATTTATATCTACAGTATATTAAAATTCAAAAACTGACCTTTTACAGGTGTCCTGTCTTTTTTTTTTTTACTTTTCTCAGCCTGACATTTGACTGGGTAACAGTGCCCAGTGTGGTCTTTAGCCAAAAGAAGGCACCACCCAACCAATAAAAACACATATATGTGTAATAAGTTAAATAATGACAATTTGTACAAAGAAATGTTTTATGAAGCTGTCCTTTAGCTCAATGGGTGAGTCTCCACCACCCTTCATATACAGAATCACTGTATTACCGCACATGGGGACTCCAGTAAAGGGTTTTCCAGTTTTCTTGTCATTTCCCTTTAAATGCAACATATTTTTGATGAAAGATTCCCTTTAAGCAAAGTTCACTCTGATCAGTTCCACCCATTATAGAGTGACCTGGCCAGAGCCTTAAGACACGTTAGCTTTGTAAGAAAATATCTTGGCAAAAAAATAAAAGCAACAAAGATGTCTAGTTGACAAAAATAGAAATCTGTAGTCAAAGCCAGCATGATGTAAAATAAAGAATAAAACTTTGTGCTAGATTTTTATCTCTGGCAGGTTCCATAATGAAAAATAGTCTATACAAAATATTTTGCATCCACACTAAGTTCCTTTTAGTTTTAATTTTTTCCAGCCTTTCTAGTTTACACACACACATGCGAACTTACAGTATTAGAATATATACAATCACACACACACACACACACTGACTTTCAATTTACATAAAAACAAGAAGGCCAATTTAAGAGAGCTTAAGGAGAGGAAAGAATCATTTATTGCCAAAGGCAACCATTCAGCCATTATTTCAGTTTGGAAAATGAGAACTAACATTTGATTGGGTGCTCTCATACTCCAACCAGAATTGAATTATGGCATTTGCGATTTGACTGGCTGGTATTAGCAACTCACGTTTCTGACCCCAGATCTCATAAATCGGCTCAAAAGACCAATAAAACAAGGGCAATGTTATAATTACAACAGCAACAAGGTCAACAAGAATTGCTAGGCCTGCTATGTACAAAGACAGGAACAGTAAGTTATGTGAGACCGAAGAAGGTGGGATTGCGCACGAAGACGCAACCGTGGCACATCCAGTGACAGTGGCGGGTTAGCACGAGTTATGAGGCCTCCTTGGGAGTGGCGATCTTGCTGGCTATTCCGTTGTGTGACTTGTAGCTGGTGAAGCTAGGCGTGTGAATGGTACGGATGCTCTTCATACCTTGAGTCAGTGAAGTGGGAGAGACAGAAGTAGAGGGAGAAGTAGCAGAGGAGGAGGAAGCAGCAGTAGCAGCAGGAGATGGCCTGCTGTTCGCATTCTGCGGTGAAAATGAAAGATGGTGACCTTTACCTGCATAAGAAGGGCTCTGCAGCTTTGAAGTGCCGTTATGAACAGGACGGATGAGGGAAGAAGAGTTAATAGCACGAGTGGACTGAGTGTTAGAGCTGGTTACTGGGATGTGAGATTTCACCGGAGGGTTATGGGAGTTAGGGGTGTCATTACACTGAGCGGGAACAGAGCTGCTTTTTCCAATGTTAGGGGAAAGAGCTGGAATCTTAGAAGCAGATAAAGTAGGGGAAGCAGCCTTAACATCCCCACCAGCTTTCTTAGTACCTCCGTTAGCCTGCAAATAAAGATGTCAGGGAGACAAGTCGATCAAAACGTTGAACAATGAATACACCAACACTGGCACAGGTGACAAACCCCCAAATAGTTAAGAGTGTTTGCTGAAGTTCATGGACCTGGCAGAATCCACAGAGCACAGAAAGGTTTATAGTACGGGAGAGGTGAAGAGGCGTGCGGTAACAGTCACTTAGTGCACAGACGGTGCGCTGCATGGGTCATGCCGTGTGATTAGAATGGGAGTGAAATAGCAAGCTGTTAATGGAGTGCATTGAACATACATATGGTTAGTGCTCGGTGTCGTCAAGTGCGCTCTGATGTCTACCCGCGCGTTACCACAGTAAGCCGCGTTCCGTTCATCTCAGCTGTGAGTCTTGAAGTGGAACAAAGCAGGAGGGTGTTTTATTGCAGGCATGCAGAGATGGCGAGAGGGAGGCAAAAAATACTATAGGATTTTTTCATGCCACCAGATCCAGATATTTTAACTAAAAACAAGCGTGAAAGTACGACATCCTTTATTTTGGCTACATTTAGTCAATTACTTGGCTTGTCCTTCCAAAGTTTTGCTCTAAGGTAAAACTACCTGTCTGTACTGTCGTTGTGGCTCCTGAAGCTTTGGCTGTTTGCTAGTTTTTTCCGGGGTTCCTTGTCTACTTTTAGAAGACATTGGTATTGGCATTCGACTGGTTTGTGGAGCTCCGTTTGAACCCTACAGGGACAGCCAATGGGAGAGAGAGACAGAGATAACACATGAATCATACAAGAGAAGTGACTTCACTGAGAGTTCACACGACATGCTCCACCATAATCAAATGAATCTTTAGCCATGCAGAGGTTACTGTCAAAAATAAAATATGTAAATGATTCTTAGGGGGAAACAAAAAACAAGTTGAGACAAGCAGTTTTTGCTCTTCATTGCCCATCACCAAGTAATCAAACATATTAAACTAAAAGTTTGTTAGGCACCTACGGGAAAAGCCAACCACCAGAACAGCAGGCAAATGATTAGGCACCGCTGGAACACACTCATGACTTTGGCTTTTTATGCACAGATACCTTACGCGCTGAAATAGGTAGGGATGATGAAGACTCTATGACAAGTTTTGTTTCCTCCACAAGCACAGGTTCTTTAGCCAAGACAGGAGTCAGGGAGATCGTTTTGGTGTCTTCTCTTATTTCAGTAACATCAGACCCTGGCCTTGGTGTCATTTCACTTATCGTGCATTCCAGCTGTTTGATGGTTTGCTCAAGACTATCTAGAGTTCTATAAGTGTTTTGCCTGATTTCATCTGTTCTGGACACTGGATCTGATTCTGCAAGGCCATGGACATCTAGCTTTTCAACTGCAGAGTTTGTATTTTCCTCTGTGCTCTTGGATCTTGCTATTTCGAACCTTTTTGCTTCTTTGTGTTGCTTGACCGTTCCATCAGGTTCTTCTTCGTCCTCATATACGACCACCTGCAAAGTCTTTTTGCCAGTTTTTGTCCCAGTACGTATAGCTTGGGTCAAAGCTGCCAGCTGTTTCTTAGGGAATTTGAACTTGAATTTCTTCTTTACATCTTGTCTCTGACCAAACTGATATTCAGAGACATCAGAACGGTCTTCATCTGTGAGTAATGTCTGAGAGGGAGTGCCATCCAGGAAGATATTCTGTTTCATCTCTGCCAGAGAAGGATAGTTAAATCTGTATCTGCTCTGTGCCTTGACACTTTCTGTAGTAGTTTTTGTTTTAATTAAGTCGACCTTGTGCTGTGGTGTAGGTGCACCAAGTGCCTTCTCCTCCTCTTCTTCTTCTTCTTCTTCCTCTTCAATCTTTGCCTCCATCATCATTTTTTCTAACTCATCATCACATTCTTCAAATATGGTTGAAAGCCTTTTATAAGCAGACCTAATATCCATTGGCTCGTCAAATATAATAATGACTGGCTTCTTATCTGTACACACAACAGGATCTTCTGACCCAGCATTGATAGAAGTATCTAAGTTAACCTTCTCTACGTTCTCACGATCAATGTTGACTGTCTGGATCTCGCCTCTCTTTCGGTTTACAATGTCTTGGACTTCACCTGTAGACAAGACTTGAACTTCTGTGTTTGTTATCATAAAGGCAATGTATCTGCTGGAGACTTTGGTTCATTTGGTGATGTCGGGGATATTGCAGGAGAATCCGTGTCCTCAGACGGTTGGCTAACAGTCCTCCTTGTGTTCTTCTGCCGTAGTACAACTGTCTGACCTAAATCTAAATAGGGCATTCCCTGTTCTTGCAAAGCTTTGCTAGGATCCTGGTTCTCTACAACTTTTTCTACATTAGAAACCTTAACAACTGTAGACCTTGAAGACTCTGTCTTGAGTTCTATTCTTTCATTACTCGCTTCTGGAAGTACTGGAGAGCTCAACTGGTTTAAAACCTGATTTTTTGGATAACTAATTATAGTGGTGTGTTCTTCTCCTTTGGGTTCTTTGTGTTCTTCATTGTTTTTGTTTTCATCCCTACCTATGAACAGACTGTATGTAGACTGTTCATTAACAACAACTTTGTCCTCCTGCCTACGCTTAGCAGAATCAGGTGCAGAACTTTGAAAGTGAAATCTCCACTTGTCCTCTGTGCTTTCAACAAGCTTTGGGCTTTCAGGCCTTAAACATTCTTTTGAAATAGTGCATGACACCTATGGGAAAATATTACAGTGTAAATCGAAAAGTTCATTTTTTTGTCAAAGCTCTAAGAAGCACTAACTAAACCCAAATCCAGCCAAAACTTTTTGTTTTTTAATTTTGCACAGTGAGTAAGGCATAGTACCCCTGAAATATCCCTCTTTTGGGGATACATGCAGCAAAAAAACAAAACAAATTTTCAGTAAAATTGCTGAAGGCTAGAACCTCTGTCAGGTTATAATTACTGTCTGTGACTTCCTGTGCCCATGACAACTGCTTCCCTCATTTCTTGTCTTGCTGCCACAGGGACATGATAAAAACCCCTCCCAGTGTGGTCACAGATAGGCAGTAATAATAATAATTTAACATCCCCCCATCACCTCACCTATCTTGTACGCTAATGTACAAAATGCCACTGCTATGTTGTACAAACAACAGTGTTCACATAGTTCATTAATAATTTATGTTCAAAAATCCAATAAGAAAACAAAAAACATTTTTTTAAACATTTTTAAAGCCTGAAAGTAAAAAAGAAAAAATGTCATACACGTAAACATGTAAAAGAAAGTTAAAAGTAAGCAAGCAGGGAAGGCAGGAAGATATGAAAGCATTATAAAGCACAAGTTCAGCTAGGAAGAGACATTCAAATATTGAAACATATTTTTATCACTGCGGCTTGAACAATAATAAGCATGTATAGCAGCAATTGTCAAGAGGCTGGGGCATGAATTGTTTGATGTGGCCAATTCTAATTTGTTTCATAGGACTACCGATGTGTGTTTTCAAAGGATCAGATAAGAGTGTAACTGCACACGACTAGATGTGTTTTAATCATTTTAGCCTTTGGAATTTATAATTAAATAAATCAGATCAGAAGAAACACAGACCCACCATTGAACAATCGTATCCCTCTTCTATGGGCAATTTAAAAGAAGGTGTAATTTTTCAAAATAAAATGTTTTTTGTGAAAGAATGTATCTTTCAGAGTAGCTGACCTCTAGAAAGCACCGAGTGTTAATATAGGTAGTTTAGGAATACCAGGTTGGTTAGTATAAGCCAAGAAGATTAAAGTAAAGCCTTACACACTGAATTACCTTCTTCTCCTTGGGCAGAGCTAAACCTGGTGGTTTGAAATCTCTCTCTTGTGTCTCTGATTTAGGGGGCTCATACTGCACCTTTGAATTAATTTCCATTATGGAACACTTCTGGAAAGCCTAAAAAGATGGAAAATGTTACATAAAATGAAAGACGGCCTTCAGCATCTTCAGTGTTCCCTCTCTCCACAAGATCAGTTGGCGGGACTCCTGTCTGAGAGTCAATCTCAGACATTCTTTGTATTTAACTCTTTTCTACAATGGTGTTCCTTGTAATCTACCCCACCCACCCTAGCAAGAACTCTCCACGAAAACAAATAGCAGTGAAGGGAGATCCTTCTCCTGGCAAATTATTTGTGTTTCTATCCATCCAGTACTGAGATTTACAGCCAGGGTGGTGACCTGACTATTGCAGTAGAAGAGTCTGGTATGAAAAGTGTATCCTACTTGTAGAATTTGAGTCTCTGTCTGCACTTTTTCAAGAGGCTATTGGTAATCTTGTCTGACAACCAATGCAAACAAGAGCATTGGCTGGCATTTTACTTACCTTCTCCATGCTCCAGTGATGTCCCTCACTTCCTTCCTGGTTCAATGCCAGCAGTTTTCTTTGGACAAAATGACAACTATGTCATTCTGTCCATTTTCTTTGAGCCCAGCCTGTTATTTATAGCCCTTGAAGGAGTGAATGATCATGCAGGCTGGGTTCACAATATTCCAGAACTGAGCAGCACTCACATGTCATTATGTGAGGGCTACTCAGTACTAGAAGAATGCCCACCCACATTTCCTGAATAGTTCTTCCAGTATAGGTGTATTACCTGAAGTTCCGCCATGATCCTCTCCCCTTCCTCCTCCTCTTCATCCTTCACAGAAGAAGACATAACTGTGGTCACTGCTGAGGAAACTCTGGGAATTTCTGCCTCTGTTTTCACAGTCTTGGATGGAAGGACCTCTTCAGAGTCCTATATAAAAAATGGAATTACAATATCTAAAGTCAAGCTGGATCCATTCATGTTGTTTACTTAAAAAACAAACATAAAAACTGTTGGACTATGCAGGGTGCATAAAACCACTTGTTTTGGTTACTCACTGCCACAGAGCAGTTTTACGTGGACCTGAAAATCAGTGAACCTTTGCCATGTTACTGAGAATAATTAGATATTATGTGCCTAAGCTAGAAAGTGTGCCTAAGCTCTGAAAAAGTTACGTTTTGTCTTGGATTCCTCCTGAAAAATAGAAGTGCATGTCTGTGCCTGAAGCCGCATAGCTGTATATCCCCAGTCTGAAATCATCTAAGGCACTGCTGTCTTTGACTGCTAGTCTCACAGGATTTGGAGTGACATTTGATGATGTCACTAGTGTACTGCTCACAGTTCTCTGGGATGAAGCTGTACACGAGGACCTGCAGTGCAAAGATCTCTTAGCTTTGGCTTTTTGCTGTTTCTTGATTATTTCATCAATCATCATATCATCAGCCATCACAGGGCAGCTCTGACTGAAGGAAGCAACACCCTACGTATTCCAAGATGGAATAGACACAATGAAAGACAATGACAGAAAAAATCCTCTTGCGCTAAAATTGAGCCCTAACCCTCAAGCAGCTGACACTAACCTCTTACCAATGTGAGTAAAGTGAATAAATATATATTAAACAGTGCAGCGCTATAAATGTGAATAAATAAATATACATAAATTTATATATCTCCCAACCAATACAACAAACTCCCCAGTGTACAAAAGGGTTAAACTATTAAAAAGTGCAAACTATTTACAAATATAACTCATGTGAATGTGATCCGTGTCGTATCAAACTCAGAAATCAAAAACATCAAATAATCACTCTGCCGTGAATAAATTTAACACAATAATACAGCACGTCAAATGTCCATAAAAGGTGCTCAAACGATAATATCCATGCAAGTGCTGCTAAGTGCTCACTCTGTGCAATTCCTCAAATATCCAAAGTGCCCCCTCACCTCCTTAAATCGACCCCAAAATATGGCCCCCATGCCGGAAGTGACATCACCGCGCTCCCGGAAATGCCTCCTCGTGTACCGACGCGTTGCGTGCGTCACGCTGCCACGTGACTTCCCCAGGGTCCTGGGAGCACAATGATGTCACTTCCGGTGTGGGGGCCATATTTCAAATCCCTGTATTAATACCCATGCAATACATCCATAGCATGAGGTAAAGAGCTGTGTCAAAGGAGAAACAGCATGTGAGTGGGGCATTTTATTCCTTACTGTTTACCAATAAAAAATATGCAGTTTTACACTATGGAGGTTCTTTGTATATGATCCGGAGGGGTTGCTGCTGACAGAGCTGTGCATATCGGAGGACCTGGGAGTGGATGTGTACAGGATCCTGTGGCCATACAGAGGGGTTCTGATTCTCAGAGCAAGCTAACCCTGTGGGGTCGATTTAAGGAGGTGAGGGGGCACTTCGGATATTTGAGGAATTGCATGGAGTGAGCACTTAGCAGCACTTGCATGGATATTATCGTTTGAGCACCTTTTATGGACATTTGACGTGTTGTATTATTGTGTTAAATTTATTCACGGCAGAGTGATTATTTGATGTTTTTGATTTTTGAGTGTTGATACGACAAGGATCACATTCACATAATTTTATATTTCCGGTGTGAATATACATGTTGCACTTTTTAATAGTTTAACCCTTTTGTACACTGGGGAGTTTGTTGTATTGGTTGGGAGATATATAAATTTATGTATATTTATTTATTCACATTTATAGCGCTGCACTGTTTAATATATATTTATTCACAAAGAAAGACAAGGCCTGGTAAGTCAATACTGGGGATCACATCAGCAGAAGGAAGACTAATAGCAATGCTGGCGACTAACACTTTTCTCTCTGCTTGCCTTTTTAAGATCCCATAGTCTGCATATAAATTAATCTTGGAGAAAACCCAGCACAGGGAGAATGTACAAAGTGCTGCAGACAGCGTATCTAGTGTTGAAGGAACACAAGACCCCTGCGCTGAAAGACAAAAGTGCTGGACACAAGAACAAAAAAGTGGGTGTCATAAAATACCATACAAAATGCCATAGCAATAAAATATGTTTGAAACACTTTCAGTTCACTTCTTCACCGTAAGAAAACGTTTGACAATTATTCTTTAGCTAAATGTGCAACTTTTGGAGTTTGGAGCTTTCCATGTGATGCTCAAGCCACGAATCTGTGCCATATACAGCATAAAGAACAAAATCCAGACAATTCATAAAATCAAAATTATATCCCGAACAAAGCACAGTAATCTGTAAGTGACTGACAGCTAAGGCATGGGGCAGCCAGCAGAGGGCAGCCAGCGATAAACACACTTTTCGGGGAAGATAAAAACCTTGCAATGAAGACAGAACATAATTCAAGGACTGAGAAGCAGATGCAAGCAAAGTGCAACGTGAAGGGAGACAGAACAGACAGTGAAATGATGGAAAGGTAGTTTGTCATTCTGGCAAGGTGATGCCCCCATTTTAACAGCACTACAGTAACTAATAAGCCATAGACTACTATTCTTTTATATATCAGTCCAATCATTTTAAACATTCACCTATTTTAAAGGACAGATAAGTGACTAGCCACTGTTGTGGTAGACCAGAAGTCCTAAATCACATTCTGTCAATCACTATTTAGTATTCTAGGCTGCTCTTTGCACATCGTCGGTGACATCTTAAATGTCATATATCTGATCATTTACAAAACACGTGCCTTTACCTTGCTGTCTCGCCTTTCTGTACCCCATGAGGTGCTCATTCCGGACGCTGGTGGATATATACGGCGGGGAGGGGGTGGAGGAGGTGACTTGGTTAATTTATCGCTTTCTTGTTCAATTTCCTTGTTACCCTCTAAAACAAACATTAAATGTTAGTGACAAAATCTATGCATTCTAAAAAAAAAAAAATGAACTGTACCATTTGTTTTATTAAATGTATAATAATATACTGTATATGCAATGATATTATAGGATATGTCCTAATATATGTTACACTTAATGAAGAAAATTCTAAAACACAGAGTGTTGATTAACAGTATTTAAAACAAAAACCTCTTTGATGCCCTAAGTCCTTTGATGGCAGCAATTGGCGGTTTTTCCTCCTTTAATGACATGTGAGCACCAAATGCGCAGTAATACTCTGAACCATGGCTGCATGAGGATGCCTCCCCAGGGGTCAGATTCATGAAGGTTTGAGCTCACAAGGAGTAGGTTGAATAACACCGGCTGTCATTCAGTCTGGAAGACTGAGGACATTTTGTGGTGGAAAAGAAGCACTGTGTGGAAACCGTTCAGATTAAATGTGAGTATTGCAGGAAAAGCTGTTTTTTTTTCATTTGAACTCCTATCAGGCTACCAATTTTCGCCTATATATTTTATTTTTTTTTTTCACTTCAGTTTAGCTTTAAGAGCTCATGCTTGTGAACTGTGGACAATGAACGGTGGCCCAGAATATTCACACAGTTCATGAATATGCAAGCTCAGGATTTACAAATGTGCTTGTCTAGATAGATATTAAAAGGTCCAGAGGTCCAATCATGCACACAATATTACTGATATCTTGCGGCTATAGCGGATTGTATCTCTGCTGTGAGGCGAAGGTTTAGCAGAACTCTTACCAATGACCTCTAATTTGTCTGCGCTGTCCATTTTCAGAGGCTGAGCTGAGTGGTATCTCTAGGCTGGGGATGGACTTCATGATATTGGCCTGTGCCTCTTCTAACATTTTCTCAAACTCTTTTCCATTATAATGGTCCAGATTTTGTCTTTTCTCTTCAAACTTTCTCTCTGCTTCCTGCAACAAGACAAGAAATGCAAGTAAACCAGAATCTTGGCAAATGGTAACAATTTCCCAGAAAACACAAGGGGAATTGTTTAAAAAACATTTCTATATGTAATAATGTAAGTTATGGACCTTAGATTGCAAGCTCCTTGTCCTTGTCCATTCCCTTCCAATACAATATACAATTAACAGTGCAACTTCCACAAAGCAAAGCCCAGACTGCATTTAATGTATGGGAGCTGAACAGTTTTTCCTGGCTCAGACCTAATAAACTATGACAACTTGAGAGAGAGGTGTGTGGCTAAACCCAGGAGTAACATGCATACTTATCCACATGCCTGGCAATAGTTGGAGGCATTAGTAGTGCTTAGTAGATTTCTAGCAGACCTTCACTCTCTTTTTGTTATTTGAACAATATTGCTTTCTCCTACCCCTTCCAAACCACCCAGAAAATACAAATCTTGGGGAGTGGGGGGTACAGCTTGTGCTTTCACCTTTCTGCCCTGGGTTGTCAAAGCTCCCTGGATACTCACAGTATGCATCCCCTGGGGCTTGGGGCACTCTAGAGCAAAAGAACAGACAGGAGATGTGTTTTTTGAAGATGTGCACCTGCACATGATCAAGAGCTAGGCTGCAAGAAGGCACAACAGGCCCTCTGATTATATAAATGAAAAAGATGGCAGGGCAGAACTCGGTATGTGGTTGCCTTCAGAAGATCACAGTAGAACAGCGTTGGATTACTGGACGTGTAGGTAATAGGAGGAAGAAAAAAAAAAAACGGAGTGAAGTTCCTCTACACAGTGAACCTGTGTTTTGCCCAAGAAGGGCAACAGAAAATAGGTTCACCTTAAAGCCAGCCCCCATAGCATCTAATACATACCTTCCCTTCACTCCCCAGCTGCTCTGTTCATCACAGACCAAGCTTACATAGGGCTGGGGACTTTGTCTCTGTCCTCATGTGGCAGCAATGGGCCAATTTCCAAGAATTAGTAATATCACAAGATCGCCATGTGCAGTAGTACCTGGTACCGTGTGGTGGGCAGTGAATGAAAGGTAAGCATATCCAGGAGATTGGAGGCATTCAAATAAAACTATTGCTTTGCCCTGCAGGATCAGAGCAGAGACTCCTTTTAAACCACATAAAAATGCAGCTCATGAGGACTTATTACCTCTATGGAGACGGCTCGATTCCTGTAGGCCACATGCTGAATTTCTTCAATAAACAGGCTCTGTGCAGAGGACCCATTATGCTGGGTGGACTGTACAACTGGAGATTGCTCTTGAGCAACAGAGGCTGGTAAACTTGTTGAATGATGGTTGACTGACACTTCTGTCACATGACCAACCTGATTAATGGAGTTATGGACATGGTTAACCAGTGCTGAAGAGTGTTGAGATTGCTGCATATGAACAGGTGAGCTTTGTACTTGGTGAACTTTGACCCCAGCAGACAGAGGCACCACCTCTGACTTTACAGACACTGTCTGTGATTCTGCAACGTTTACCGCTTCTGTCTGCATTGGCTGAAGGTACGCATGACTTTTTTCTTCTCTGTGTTGGGTAATATCTGTTTCTGAAACTTTTTCAGTGATGATAAACTGGTTATTCGGATTGAAGTCAACAACTTTAGAGGGTCCATCACTAACTTGCCTAGGGGGAACCAGAAAAGAAATGGAAGTTAATTTACTTTGTACTTAGCTTGTATAATTTTTTTTAATGAATACTGATATGTTAACTCACATGTTAACCATTGTTAACTAAATGATGCCATAATGAGATGTAAGAATGATTAGAGGCAAGGGTATGATTTGTATTGATGTCTGCAGCTTTGCAACAGCCCCTGGCTGCTTCACTGTAAGTCTATAAAAGGTACTCTGGGGCCTGGACATACTGATTAATTACTATTCAATGAGTGGCAATATTGATCCCTACCAGAGGCAGAGCAGAATCAAATTTTTCAGCAAGCTTGGTCAACTTGTCCCTAAATCTTGGCCTGACTATTAACAGTATTTTGATTAACAACGTTACAAATATATAACAGAGGTCAGTGATTGGGTGTCACCTTCTTAAGGCTGATAGGGCGTCAGTCATGTTTCGGATCCTCTTCAGTAAGCTGTCCAGCTTGTGGGGTTCTTCTTTAAGAAACCTTACTGCCTCCACCTCCACCCGCAGTACCGCTCTCATCTTATTCTGTAAGTATGGAAACTCCCCTGGAAATGAGAGGTGACCTTATCATACAATCTACTCTAAAAAGCAACGTAAGAAACAAAATGGGAAATACATGAAACAAAACCAGCCTTATTTATCAAGGCCATGTAGCGGACAAGGATTCTGTTCAAAGTGCATGAGGCCAAAGACCATCCAATCTGAATTAATTTTATTTTAGTCAGTCCAGAGGAGGTGAATGGTGGTTTACATGGATTACTGCACTTTGCATTTGGCTCTTCGAGTTAAAAAAAAAATGGTTATTGCTTCAGCGCATCTAAAATTATTATATAAGATTTTATAGTACAGATACAACTTAAATATGATGCTATTTATTGTCATAAAGTGGTTTCAAGCTTTTCTGCTCTCATCAGTTCGTGGTGCATAGCATCTATTATGTAAGACTAAGGGGAAAAAAGTTTTACAACGACATTGGTTTTTGCTCCTATTGGCCTTTTGTCCACAGCATTCTTAAAAAAACACATAGGATATTGATGTCACTGATTTCCTTGTAAAAATGTTAGTTACCTGATCATATTAATCCTCTGTTTTGAAGTCACTGAGCTCATTAAAGGATATGTTCACCCTTCGTAACATATTATATGTTACACCCATATTCAGGGTGTAACATGTAACATGTTACAATCAGACCGATCCCTACTCCCTTCTTTGACAGCTAGCAGGGGATCTTCTCTCCTGCTAGCTGTCAAATTTTTAAAAAACGCTCCACCCGCCCAGCTGCGTCACTCATGCACAGTCCTCTGCAAATGAGAGACTAAAAGTCCCAACAACCTTAGCAGCTGTTGGCTTGTAGTCCTCAATGAACTACCACGGCGCTGTGGAGTGCTATGGTAGTTCATTGATTCTTCCTGTCAGTATATCTGCTTGCCTGTACATCGTGTACTGACAGATCTGCAGGAGACCTGCATGGCACCAGTGCTTTACTGGCTCCTGCAGACAAAAAGAATAAATGCACATTTTTATTATTTTTTACTAAAAGGTGACCTTATCCTTTTACTTTGGTTTCACGTTTTCCCTGCTTTTTCCTGGTTTCACGTTTTCCTTGCTTTTTCCAGGTCAGAAAGTTCTGCAGCTGATAACCAGGCAACTATCATTTGCATACTGTACATGTTCTGAACTACTCATCTGTAAAATTACGTTAAAGCTGATTTTCAGAGAAAAAAATAAAAGATGAACACACCTGTACTAATAAAAAAACATACTCTTGCTACCTATACTCCAGAGCTGTCCCTCACAATAATTATTTTCCTCCATGAGATGTCCTCAGGCTTCCGAGTTGAAGGACAGCTAGAATCATTTAACCTTCTTCCCGAGTTTACAGGCTGTCACGTACCCGACACCTGGAGGTTGTCATGCACACCCCATGGTTAAGAGTAATAGTGCATTGAACGGTGCTTTCATGTCATTATTTGAACGCCATCAAGTGTAGCTGTAAAGACTGTCCTTTTCTGCCTCTGGAGAAGAGGAAGGACCAATGACATCATCAGACTGGACAGAAGACCCTTGGGAAAAATGTATGTAAGTTTATGTATTTATTTTTAAAGTGAGAGCGGGGAGGGCACATGGTGGTGGTGGTGGGGTTTTGGGGATATACAGCCTGCACCAATTGTAGGTCCAGAGACCTTCAGAACAATTTATGGCTTTTTAGTCCTCATGCACACTGGACATTTTGATAGCGCTGGTAACGTTAGCTGTATAAAACGGTAAAAACATGAGTTTTTCAGCTTTTTTAAGCATTTTTGTGTTACCGTTTTGCCATGTTTAGCCGTGTTTTTTCGTGCTTTTTTTTACCAAAAAAAATTTTTTTTTAGGTCAGAAAAACTTCCAAAAATGCCAGTTTGTGGCGTTTTACCATGTTTTCAGCATTAGAGCATTTTTACAGCTAAAAAAACTCCTCTAGAAACCCACCAGTCCTGTTTTTTTTTCCAGCCAAAAAACGTCCCAGCCAAAAAACATTGATTACAGTCTATGTGTGCATGGACACATAGAATAACATGCTGGGGGGGGGGGGGGGGGGGGGTTACTGGCTGTAGAAAAAAACGTCAAAAGCCAAAACAGCCGCTGTAAAAACATCAAGTGTGCATGAGGACTCAAAGTAAACCTCTCAGGAATGGTTTCCTTCAGACTTGGCAATCTCTACAAGGGATGGCAAAGAGTCAGACTGTGGTCCAAGTTTGGTGAGCCCAAATTATACCTTTTAGGTTGGACACTGCTTCTCCAATCTGGCGCAGCATAAACGCTCGATCCTCAACATCCTTCAATGTAACAACTCTAGCGGAGGAGTCCTTCTTTACATCTTCTACAAAATTCTCCAAGTCACTGCAAAAGAAACATATACAACCCATTGAAAAAAAAACATCAGGATTAGCTACTACAAAGAGCAAGTGCAAGGAGCAGCACAACCAATCAGAATCCACCTTTCACTGATCTGGCTGATGTGCACCATACTGGTAACAGTACATCACTACATAACCTATACATATAAATTAATTTTTTTTTTGTACACTTTTATAAAATGAGAAAAACAAAGTCCACCTAGTGACAGAAATATCCATTTTGGGCAGACTCCGGTTTATATCATTATGTTCCCCAACATCTAAGCTATAAGCAGACCCTATTAGATGAAGCGGTGCCAGGGATGGATGCATATTAAGCACACGGATTTCTGTGCTCGGCAGTCTTTGGCAAAGTCTTTGAATATATTTAGGAAGTCACAGCGAGCTCCTGCGCCTGTATTTTACTTTCTGATTTGTAATACTAACATAGGAGAGTAACGTTAGTCACAGGAACTATCAGCAGAGCACAGATGTAGGAAAATGAATAAAAATAACAGATTTTCTCATCTCTTCCTCTCCCAGCTGCCTCTTCCATCTCAGTGCACAAATCACACCTCCTGCAGGACAAACATGACACACTTCTGTGTAGACTGACATCCTGAGCGTATTGATGGTCGGGTTAACGCTTGTGCCGAGGTGTAGAAACAACCCCCCTTTAGCAATGCAGCTATTTCTCTATAGCCATGTAATATTAAAGGAAACCTGGATTCTGCTCAAACGCAACAGGGGTTATTTACTAAAACTGCAGAGTGCAAAATCTGGTGCAGCTCTGCATAGAAACCAATCAGCTTCCAGGTTTTATTGTCAAAGCTTAACTGAACAAGCTGGAATTAGAAGCTGATTGGTTACTATGCTGCACTAAATTCAGAGTGCTCCAGTTTTAGGAAATCTCCACCAAACAGTCCTGACTAAAAGCAGATGCCACAAGATGCCAGTTATTACATAGAAAAGGTCTCTTCTTTGCCTCTCTCTGATTCAGGTTCACCTTGTTACTGGGGCCTGACTTCCTCTGAGTTCTACCCATCTCTATGATGTCTAATAATAATAGGAGTGCCATTACTAGCCACTAAGACCATATCATCAGCCAGTGAAATGACAGTTAAGGTAGGATAAGCCAGACCCAAGTGACAAAGAGGAACTAAATCAGAGAGGCACAGAATAATTAAGGCAATCAAAGTCCTGACCTCTGCTAAGGCCCCTGAAATTGCTGTGTCTGTGTGTCTGTAAGAATGTATTTTGCAGAATGCCTCAGTTTACACTTTATGGTTGCGGGGGGGACATACTGAGGTGCAGTTGGCCAAATGACACCTGCATCCTTTGGACAACAGTTGTCTATTGTCTAGACCAGTGTTTCTCAAGGGGGATGCCGCGGCACCCCAGGGTGCCACCTCAGGCCCTCAGGGTAGCCGTGGCATTGTGCTTGAAAAAGCTGTCAGATCCGACCGAACTCCCGCTATGCCGAATATCACAACACAAAGTTTGGTCGGCACAGTGTTAACAGGGGTTTTGTGGTATGGAGGTGAGCAGAGAGGGGTTTGGGGTGTGTTTTACATTGGTGCTCAGTGAGAAGAATGCCACCCTTACAACAGATAAAAACAATAACCTGTGTCATGCTGCTGATTTTGCCAAGTGGCATTGGCCTGGTATGTTTGAAGGTACCATCAAATGGGTCAATCAGCAACAGCTCCAGGAGCCCCTAGAAACCTCTGGACAGGGGCGGACTGATCATTCGAGCACTCGGGCACTGCCCGAGGGCCCGGGGTCAGTAGGGGGCCCCATGAGATGCCCCTGGTACCTTTTATATGCTTTTTTTGAATGTGGGCAAGGACACAGGGGCCCCATGATCCCCTATTGCCCGGGGGCCCCATGAGTTGTCAGTCCGCCCCTGCCTCTGGAGCTCCTTTTCTGAACCTTTTCAACACAGAGGAGCCCTTGAAATAACATTCTGGACTCAGGGAAGCCCTTCTATAAAGTACCATATCTACAACTCATGCTACATTAATAAGATGGTCAGTGAGAAGAATGTTCTTTACACGTGTGTTCACTGGGAACAATTACCCCTTTATAGATAGATAAAAACATCAATGGTATCAGTGGGAACTTATCTGGCTGAAATTTTTCATTGCTCAAGGAACCCCTAGTAACTTCTGGAGGAACCCTGGTTGAGAAACCCTGCTCTAGAGGAACCCTTTTTGAGAATAGCTACATTAGCAAGTAAGCAGAGTAATACAGCTTTCATTAAGCCGCTCAGTCTCTTCATTATTTCACAACCTTAACAGATTATTGCTTCTTCATATTTTAATATTTTACTTTTTCGTACCTTTGAATCCTCTTAATCCCTAGAATCCACCCTTTATTTTACCTGGAAAGCAAGCCCTGATGAAGGTAGCTCACAACATGTGTTTTTGGACTCTAATCTATTGATGTGGGTCTCCTACTTTTTACAATATAAGAGTTGACATCACCAAATTTCAGATTTACCACTGACATCACAAAATCTACGTAATATATATTTCTTGTGCATACTTATATAACAATATACCAAAATCCCTATGTTGTACAATAAAAAAGGTTCTTTATAAAAGTAAAATTCACCAGTGGAAAAAGAGGAGAACCGGATTTAGCCACTTTCACAAGATGGATGATTGATTTCTTTTGGACGAGTCCCAGCTGTTGCTTACGGGAATGCTTTGTGAAAGTGCGCTGTGAGCAGACAACAGATGCTGATGTTTCAGGAAGGAATAGGTGCTGAAATTGCTGTCAATGTAAACCGAATAGCTGAGAATAAAATAATAAAGGGGGAAAAAAAGCTAAAATGGAACAGATCTATAAAAACGTCTGTATCGCACAGACTCTGCCTTTGATTCTGGAAGCAGACCAAGGGGCACTGAAAGTGGGCAGTAAATATGGTCACATTATGTGTCTCTAGTGACAAATATTCCCTCTGCAAGAGCCGAATCCAGAATATAAAACTGCTAGAAGACGATGAAACGAAAGCGACTTCACAGAAATGGAGCATGATGGAGTAAGGACACTTATTAAATCTCTTTTATGAGACAAAGCAAAAGTAATTACATCATATGATACTCATAATTCATAATATTATTTTGCCACAAATTACCTCATAATTGTTAATGATTTTACCCCCCCCCCCCCCTCCGGTCACATCAAAGCCAATTTTAAAATCATGCCACATACATAAGTTGGGTGACTTGCAGATTTGAGGTGCGATTTGCAACACATCTGACGCAGCTGTCTATGAAAATCGCACCAAAAGTAGTGCATGTACTACTTTAGAAATCAGTGCGACTCCGACCAAGTCAGAACCGCCCGATATGACCACTCTGATAGCAGACAATAGGGTGCGACTTGGCATATGATTTGCAAGTCGCAGGGTATGCAAATCGCATCTCAAATCACACCCGATGTGACTGGGGTGTTAGACACCTCCATTATCTGCCATGGAGCTTCAAAGTGAAGAGTAAATAGATACAGAAAAATCATTAAGAAAAATGACAAATGCAAATGTTTTGCTATATATACAGCGGGTAGAATAAGTATTGAACATGTCACCATTCAGTAAATATATTTCTAAAGGTGCTATTGACATGAAATTTTCAACACATGTCAGTAACAACCCATGCAATCCATACATACAAAGAAACCAAAACAAATATGTTCAGAAATTAAGTTATGTGTAATAAAATGGAATACCACAGGGAAAAAGTATTGAACACATGAAGAAAGGGAGGTGCAAAAAGGCACGGTAAGCCAAGACACCAGCTGAAATCTAGCAGTAATTAAACAGCAATCCTGCTCCTTATCAGTGCAAATTAATACCAACTGGTTCAGTCTCAACCAATGGCCTATAAAAAGGCCATCCATTACCAAGGTGTCACACAAGAAACATCTCATGATGACTAAAAGTAAAGAGCTCTCTCAAGACCTTTGACGTCAGACGCTCAGACGCTGTAGCCGGAAGGAGCAGCGCGGCCATTTTTTGTTTCTGTGTACGAACGAACGGGGGGAGATGGACGGTATTAACTGAAATGTGAGTCTACCTAATTAAAGTGTACTTTTATGACACTCCACTGAGTTTGCTCCTATTTTCCACCCGAGAGATACGGGGACCGTGGTCTCTTTGAGGGATTTGACCTTGGAAGAAAAAGGGACCCCACTGTCTATTCCTGGGAGGAAGACGCACCTCGCAGGAAGGCTACCTTGGGGATTTAAGTATTTTATATGTCCTCTATTTAAACAACAAGAGGGTAATTGCAACCATATCCCCTTACAGAGTGTGGCACTGCTTTGACACTTATGTCACGGTTGTTAATATTTAGATTACACTGTGTGGTTCTATTCTCACTTATGCAGTGTTCTCTCACTAAGAGCACAGGATTGAGGTGATTTCACCATCACTTATTCGTTTATCTATCCTGATCACTGATGTGATTGCATGATATCATTTCACAATAATATGTATTAAGGATAATGCACTATATTATTTTTCGTTTTTTGAGGATCGTTTGGATTGAGTAGGAAGATTCTGGATATTTTTGGATATTTTTGGATATTTTTGGATATTCTTTGGATGTTTTACACACAAAAGGACTATTGTTATTTAATTTGGACTTTACTTTCCATTTTATTTTTCTATTTTTGGACTTTATTACACAATTTTATATTTTTGGATTGAGGTGTGGACATTTACATTTATATTTATGTATATGAGATTGTGGGAGAGGGTTACATTGGATTATTGAAAAGGTGTTTGTTGTACTCTCAAGACCTTTGCAACCTTAATGTTGCAAAACATACTCACAAGATCTCTGACAGAGGAGTGAAAACAATTATCAGAAGAATTGTCCAAGAGCCAAGGACCACTTGGGGAGAGTTTCAGAAAGACCCGGAATTAGCAGGTACAATTGTTTCAAAGAAAACCATAAGTAATGCACCAAATATTAAATAAATTTCAGTTAGCGTGTTCAATACTTTTTCCCTGTGACAATCCATTTTGTTACACATAACTTCATTTCTGAACTTATTTGTTTTGGGTTCTTTGTATGTATAGATTGCATGGGTTGTTACGGAGGGGGTCAAAAAATTTATGTCAATAGCACTTTTTAAAAATAAATTTACAGAGAAAAAAAGGTGACGTGTTCAATACTTATTTTACCTGCTGTGTGTGTTCCTCCACCCCAAAACTCTCTCATCCAGGTATTTATTGACCTTGCTTTGTGCACTGGTGTGCAATCATGTTGGAACAAGAAGGGGCCATCCCCAAACTGTTCCCACAAAGTTGGGAGCATGAAATTGTCCAAAATGTCTTGGTATGCTGACGCCTTAAGAGTTCCTTTCACTGAAAAACAATCCCACACCATAATCCCCCCCCTCCACCAAACTTTACACTTGGCACAATGCAGTCAGGCAAGTACCATTTTCCTGGCAACCGCCAAATCCAGACACGTAGATCGGATTGCCGTACAGAGAAGCATGATTGGTCACTCCAGAAAACACATCTCCACTGTTCTAGAGTCCAGTGGTGGCGTGCTTTACACCACTGCATCCGACACTTTGCATTGCACTTGGTGATGTAAGGCTTGGATGCAGCTGCTCAGCCATGGAAACCCATTCCATGAAGCTCTCTATGCACTGTTGTTGTGCTAATCTGAAGAACACATGAAGTTTGGAGGTCTTTAGCTATTGACTCTGCAGACAGTTGGCGACTTCTGCGCACTGTGCGTTGATTCCGCTCTGTCATTTTACGTTGTCTTCTACTTGGTGGCTGAGTTGCTGTTGTTCCCAGTTGCTTTGACTTTGTTATAATACCACTAACAGTTGTCCGTGGAATATTTAGTAGCAAGGAAATGTCACGGATGGACTTATTGCACAAGTGGTAACCTATCAGATGCCAAGAATTCCAAACCTCCCTAACATCATTGTGCACCCCCTTTGGAGGCAGGGAAGCAGAAAGTGCAGGGTCTGGAGGAGGACCCGAGGAGGAGTAGAGTCAGTTACCAGAGTCTGCTGAATGCTGAGACCAGGGGAGGCAGAGATGAGGGGATGCTGCAGCTGCACTGAGAGGTGCAGGATTTGGCAGAGGAGTTCTGTCCTCCTCTCTGCCTCCACCTTGTCTCAGCAGTCAGCAGCAGAGACAAGGGGGGGTACCATAGCTGCAGGAGAGGTGCAAGGGCCACAATAAATGGCCTGGAGGGCAGCATTCGGCCCTTTGCCTTGTGTTTGACACCTGTGGTCTACATACTAGGGTTGATTTACTAAAGGCAAATAGTCTGTGCAGTTACTCCAGAGCTAGTAAATGAGGGAAAGCTCTGCTGACTTCCATCATCCAACTATGTGAAAGCAAAAATGATGTTTTTTTATTATCCTTGCATGTGATTGGGTATTCTTTGAAAAGTGAAGCTTCGTCTCATTTACTAAGCAGCTACACTTGCAAAGTGCACGGTCTATTTGTCTTTAGTAAATCAGCCCTACTGTATGCTTAAAGCTGCCCCGGTTTCATTCCAAAAAGTTGGGAGGTATGTGTTTGGTTAAGTGAGGAATGAATTGATATCTCTCTGAGACCCAGCTGGCAGTAAAAAACCTCACACAGGGGATTCAATCCTAATTCTATCCAAAACTTTGAAAAAAAAAAAAAAAAGTTTTGGCTGGATATATAAAGCCCTAAACAAAACTAATCACGGCTAACCATGGCTGCACATAATTGTGTAGTTTATGCTTTGGCTTTGTTTTAGCTTTTCAAGTGACTGATCGGATTATTCTGTAATCAATCACTGAAGAGTTTAGCGGTGCACACAGTCTATAGCTTTTAGTATATGACATTTTAGCAGCTGGCTGATTTTTCTTGTATAGCCCAAGCATGAATGATCGTGTTGGCAGTGTGTCTCATAGCTTATTATGTACAGACTGCAGGGCGACATATGCTGGCCATACATGTATAGATTTTCATTAGCAATGTACATCCATTGGCAGGGGAACTGGGGTACCATTCAGACTGAATGGCACTGCATAGAAACAGCAAATTTAATATGACTTGCTATGGGAAGAAAGTATTTACATGTCATCAGTTCAATCACTAATATACTTCCTGGACCGAGATGCCAGCGCAGAGATTACACAATCATGTAAATCCTGGTGCAAGGAGCCTGCGGAAGTGCTTGGCATAATTTTCACCCTAATCAACATCCCTTGTCTGGAGCTCAAGGAGTACTTATTAATGATAAAGGTAGCCTTTTCCTAAAAAACATTACGGTAGCTGCATATTGTGATGTGTCAGGGATGTGTTCACGCAGACAGGGGCAGACTGACAACTCATGGGGCCCCCGGGCAATAGGGGATCATGGGGCCCCTGTGTCCTTGCCCAAACTCAAAAAAGCCTATGAAAAAGGTACCAGGGGCATTTCATGGGGCCCCCTACTGACCCCGGGCCCTCGGGCAGTGCCCGAGTTTCCAAATGGTCAGTCCGCCCCTGCACGCAGACTTGCAAAGTTCCTGAAACATTCACTCTGGAGCAGGGGCGGACTGACAACTCATGGGGCCCCCGGGCAATAGGGGATCATGGGGCCCCTGTGTCCTTGCCCAAACTCAAAAAAGCCTATGAAAAAAGGTACCAGGGGCATCTCATGGGGTCCCCTACTGACCCTAGGCCCTCGGGCAGTGCCTGAGTTTCCAAATGGTCAGTCCGCCCCTGCTCTGGAGTGATATTAAACCCAAATGAAACATTTATTATATTGCAGCTTATCAATTCTTAGATGTGATGGCTGCATTCGTTTTCTTTTTTAGGCTTTCTTTCTTCTATTTTTACCTGGTGATCTTGTCGGTAAGTCTGCTGTTTTTCTAAAGAACAAGCTTGCCAGCAAATGTAGCAGTTAGAGGGATGAGGCAAACTATTTAACACTGGCGTTGTGCTTACCATGGCCAGCTTTCATTTATTTATGTAAAACCATTATCCTAAATGAAAAAAACTGTTTGCTGTAACTGCTAAAGTGTTAGCTGGAGTGTGGCTTCAATTTGTTAGTGTATTTAAATCCGCTAGCACATCTAACACTCCCTTCCCCCCAGACTCATAATTCTGCTGTCCAAAAGGTGCCCCCTGTGCTCCTTCACCCAGAGTAGGGGCACTCTAATACAGGCGGTGTTTTACTGGCCAAATCACCAGGTGAAAACAGAAGAGGAAAAAGCTTAAATAAGAAAACTAATGCAGGCAGCACATCTAATGATTGGTAAGCTGCAATATAATACGTTTTTGGTTTTGGGTTTCATACCGCTTTAACTTCTGGATGAACACATAGTTCCCAAAGCCTTTCACTAAATAAATATCACGTTTATAGTACATATAATTGTTGGATTTCATTTCAGCCTGTATGCTGCTAGGAGATAAAGTGGTTAACCTCAAGTGGTTTCTAACCTTAATGTATTCTCTGCATTAAAGTGATATAAAGGCTGATTTGAAAAATAACAAACCTGCTCTAGGCAGTGGTTTTACACAGAGCAGCCCTGATCCTCCTCTTCTTGGGTCCCCCGCCAGTACTCCTGGCCCCTCTCCCCAAGCAGGTTCACTCCTGAGCCACTGCTCTGTCTGTCCATTCACAGAGAGTGGCTTGACCCTGAACCCAGCTCTCTCTTCATTGGCTCGCTGGCCGTGATTGACAGTAGCGGGAGCCAATAGCTCCCGCTGCTGTCTCAGCAAATGAGGAGGGAGAGACCCCGGAGAGCAGAGGCTCTTGTGTATATGGCTGGATGGAGATCAGGCTCAGGTATGCATAAGGGGGGCTGCTGTACATAGACGATTTTTTGCCTTCATGCATTCTAAAAAACCTTGAGCCTTGACAACCACTTTAAGGTAAAAACCCTGATGTGTGGAGCTCCCCCTAGCCCCCCCTTATACCTCTATACTACTTATATCCTGATCCAGCGCTGTTCCCAAGAGCAGCAGCTCTCTCTCTTCTCACTGGAGATCAAGGCAGCAGTGGGGGCCATTAGCTCCTACTGCTGTCAATCACAGCCAGTGAGGAAGGAGTGGGGGGCAGTGCCGGGCCATGCTGTGTGTGACAACGGACACACACAGAGCGGGGCTCAGAAGTGAACCCGCCCACAAGTACCACCATAGCAAGCAGCTTGCTATGGGGGCACTCAGAAAGAGGAGGAGCCAGGAGTGCTGGTGGAGGGCACAAGAAGAGGAGGATCGGGACTGCTCTGTGCAAAATCATTACACAGCGCAGGTAAGAATGACTTGTTTGTTATTTTAAAAAAAATATTTTAGAATCACTTTAAATTTGTTAAAGCAATAAACAACTTTGATATCCTAGACCATGGCCTAAATCCTGGCCTGTGAACCGATGTGTGATAATAAAGTGCTCACCCTAACTTGATGACGATCTGTTCCTCGTCCTGGAGGTACTTCTGGCGCTCTTGCTCCACTAGGACGCGCTGTCTCTGCACCGGATCCTCCAGGCTCCTGACCATGTCTGTCACTTTACTGCTGATTTCCAGCTCCGCTTTCTTCATCATCGCCCGCACCATCTCCTGGTTCTGCAGCTGTGACACAAAAGAAATCAGTTTCCATTTCTTCCTTCTGCCTCCCAAGAATCCTAAACATACAATACCTCCCTGACTCCAGAGCCGGGCCTCTACAAGGAGCCCTGATTAAATAATGTACATTGTTAAGCTAGCCTTTGGCTCCGGATTAAACCCCACAGCTGCTTTATAAGTACGTACAAATGGACAATTGAAGAGTGATTGGCTGCTGCCAGTGAATCTCACTTGATGGTGCTCTTTGGTCTGAGTTCAAAGAGTCTTTAAGTTTCCCAAGTAGTGCTAAGCTGAGACGGAAATGAGAATATTTTACTCATTCAAAAGTATCCCTTTTATATTAATTTGTACTTAACTGCGTAAAATATTTCAGGAGTTCAGTGTTTAATGCTGTGTACAAAAGGAAAATTAAATATGCATCTCCAAATATTTCCAGTTGGATCCCTAAATGATTCTGATAGCATTTCCCTGCACCTGCTCAAAGCTTACACTTTGATCTACTGATATTTTTCTTTCCCCGCTTCCTCTCTCCCATTCTTATCCACATGCTAATGACATTTTTAAATAAAACCTGTTATCTTTAGATGCTGTTTTATAGTCCCAGTGACATCTTCACTTGGTCCCTGCGCTTCTCTGTGCCATGCAGGCAGATCATGGCTGGTGTCAGAGATCGGCAGGGAACTGTACATAGAGTAGCTTTCCTAAAAACATCACAGTACTCTGCCTCAGTACTTCTTTTAGGAGCCCTGATGCAGCCAGTGGGATGGCTCTTCAGAGGAGTTGTGCAAATATCAAAATGCCTCATTTAGTAGATATCAGTCTGGAGGAGTGGGGTTTTCTAGGTAGAATACATATGCATGCAGGCTACCCTATGCAACACCCACATGTGCTGCTCAGCCTCTATAACTGAAATCCAATCTGATACAGGGCTGGTGAAGGCTGGGGAGGAAAGAGCTATATGTTGATGAATGTCCTCCAGCCAAGAAATGAGATGGGTTCTGTTTGACTCTTTGAAGCTTCTAATGCACATTGTGAGAAGCTCGCAGTGTGCCTTGAAATCAGGAGAAGCTGTATCACTGCTCCTGCCTGTACAACTGTGCAAGATTGGAGTTCTGCTTTAAGGAAAACCTCGCTCATTAGAGTTGCCATTGATGAACTCCTTAAAAATGCTAGTTGCCTGGCTGTTCAGCACCTGATCTGGAACAAGTGCGCAGATTGGGAAAGTCCTAATTTGCATTCATGTTTGGTGTCTTTGGTTCCGAGTATTGAAGTCAATAAGTCACCAAGACTGCCAGAAAACTGGATTTGCAGAGCTCAGAAATGGCAGCCTCCATGTTTCTAAAGTGACAGGTGAGACGTAATCCCGCAACCCTGCAAACAAACCTTTTCCAGTATTGGCAGCATTGGGGTCATGGTCTCCAGCAGATGCCACATACATGAAGTTTGTATACTTGCCTGCAATGGCATCAGTGGAGGTTTGATGAGCTCTATATGTCCTTGAGAACCAACCTGATTTTTACAGATGTAATGAGGAACAGGAGGAGAATAACATAAGGGGCGCTAATTGGGGACAATTGGCTGAGTGCAGTCATTAAATGATAATTATGATGGGATTTCAGCTTAATGGAACAGATTTCGTTCTTGTCTCATTGTAAACCTATGTTTAAGAAGATGGAGCTCCATGAATGCTCACAGCAACAGTTTTAGACTAGGAACTCCTTGATGATCAGTTTAATGCCTTCAGCATTTTCCTGGAGTTCAGACTGCGGTTAACAAAATTCAGAAAGTGCGAAGAATGTTTGGGAATAGGTGACCCTAATACTGTGGAAGCTCTCATAGGTATAGCCTACCTGCTAAGAAACTGCACCATTATTTTCAGAAGATGGGGTGCTAAGAACGGAGGGGGGGGGGGGGTGAAAGTGGAGTTTAGAATGGCCTCTTATCATTGTAGAAGGAATCTCCCTGACTGAACAATTACACCTTCCAATCACATTTATATTGTCTCATTTGTTTGGTATTGGAAATTCTACAGCGAGAGTCTGGAAAGCTGCCGAGTCACAGATGGACCATACCACCAGAGTACTCAGCCCTAAAGTGTATCTAAACCCAAAACCAAGAATGTAATATATTGCAGCTTACTAGTCCTTGGTGCAGTGGCTGCATTCATTTTAGTTTTTTCAGTTTTGTTTCCTTTTATTTTCACTTGTTAATACTGCAAATAACAAACGTCTTGTCAATGGGTGGCAGGGTCATGTTAATGCATGCCCCAGGTGCATGGAGCTCCCCATGATAATCTTACATTAGGCTCTGCCACTGCAGGCTGACAGAAGATCTGACAGTAGTGTCACTCACTACTCCTGTCAGCAGGAAGGAGATGAAGCACAGCAGTGCAACCTAGTCTTGCAAAGTATGGCCAGGGAGGGGAAGGCAGCCATCATTTTTTTTGTAGTATTCTAGTACAACCTCAACATCTAACTGTCTTTAAACAATGAACTGCAGAGATGGAGAGGGCAGTAATGGGCAGACTAAAAAGCCACAGCCAATATTTAGCATAATTTAAGCCTGGTACACACAGGCAATTCTTTGTTCAATCCAGCAAGCTGAACAAAAAAAGGAGGAACTTGCTGTACTAACTATGCAATGTTAGTAGAGTGATTGTGTTGTGACTGGGGGACTGCCCCCCAACTCTCCCACCAAAACACACCGGTTAGCACTTACAGCCATTGGCTGCAGGCGCTGGTCAGATGGCGATCAGATGCTGATTTTCCATCATGCTTGTTCGACAGAAGCCAGACATTCAGCCAGCTTCTGTCGGATAGGCTGTTGTACACACAGGCCAAATGTCGTCCAGTTTCTGTTGAACCGGCTGATACTGGCCAGTATTTGGTCCGTGTGTACCAGGCTTTAGCTATACCCACTTTTTGCCCTGGCATAGCATGAGCAGGTCGCCATCTCCCTGGTAGGGGAGCCAGTGCCTTACTTTTCTCAGTGGCCCATGATGCTATTAAGATGGCCCTGTGCTCAGTCACTCCTCCACTGTAGCTATGGAGGAAGCCATGGTCATCCAAGGTTGAGCTCCTTATGGACTACAAACCTGTCTGTATCTCTTTATCTCCATTACATGGGGGGCAGGGCACATTGCAATTTACCGACAGCTAGACATCTAGGAAGGAAGATATTCTTTGGCCAGCTCACAGGAAGTGACAGGGACATGGCATTTCTTCCAAGATCAACAGATATTTTCTGTATTTGCTGAAATTTTATTTAAGTAAAAAAAAAAGAGAAGGCTAATGCAGCCACCACATTTAAGGATTGTAATATTTAACAATATTAACATTTTTGTTGTTTGGTTTAGTTATTATTTAAAGCTAAACTTAAGGTAGGTATCAAAAAAGCAACTTTAGCAATGTTTCACTAAAAAACATAAAATTAGTCTTTAAATGCAATGGGCATAATTACCTGAATCTGTCCTGTTATCTCCAGCACAGTGATAACATCATGAGTCTGCTGATGTTAATTTTTTTGTCTAGTCACAGGCTGGGGATGGACAGGTGACCAAGATAAATTGAATCACTTTAGTAAAGAAAAGTGCAGTCACCAACCTATCTGTACTGTCTGACAAGGACTGGATAAACCTCAGGACTAGCTGGACAACATACAGGCTTCATTTTAGGGCAGTCAACAGACATCTCCATCAACGGTCTGAAGATGTCACCTACTCTAACTGCCAACAGGAGGTTCAAAGTAGATTTTCCTGGAGCCAATATGGCAGCATACATTTAGAAGGTGGAGATACCCACAATGGATTGGCACCAGGAAAGGAAAATTGCGGTAAATACTTGATACAATTTTTTGTTTTCGTAGCACCAACATGGAAGTACATGTAGTAGGTGGGGATGCCCACCATGGATTGGTATCAGGAAAGGGAAATTTTGGTAAACATTTGATACAATTTTCTATTTTCCTGGCACCAACATGGCAGTACATTTAGTAGGTGGGGATATGCACCATGGATTGGCAAAAGTAACGGTAAATTGCAGTAAGTATTTGGTACAATTTTTAGTTTTCCTGGCACCAACATGGGGCAGTATCCCCACCTACTACATGTATGAGGCCTTTGATTGGCACAAGGAAAATGGAAAATCAAAGTAAGTATTTGATACAATTATCTATTTTCAAAAGCCTAGCATTTCACCAACATTTGTGAAAGTTTGTTGGCATTCCAACCCCCTACCAAATTCCAGGACAATCCTAAAAAGATTAGGACATCCAACTCCAGGTCTTCTAACTAATGTGTTTTTAATTTTTCCCATGATCTCGGCCAACTCAAGCAATTGCAGTCTGACAAAGGAAGTTTGTTTGACATCGAAAATTTCTTCCCTGTCATAAGAGTCTCCGGTTTTCACAAATACTTAAGACAATCCTCAGTATCACTGCCAGCAGCTTACATAAAAATAAAAATGACATTTTTAGTTTACTTGCCCTAACGCCTCACATTAGCTGTGCTCACAAATTATTAACTCTCTCAAATAAACACTCGGCATGGATTGTACACAAGGAAAGATGCGAGAGAAAGACTAAGTATAATTATGCACGGGAGAATCGTGTAATTATTTCTCGCCAATTACCGTAAATAAATGGTATGTGCCACTCTGATAAAGAGTCTTTGGGAAGAAGAAGTCTGAAAGTTCCTTCCTTGGTGGCAGAGAGCCAATTAAAAAAGACAGAATTCATTTGAAATACTAAATATATGAAAGGGAATGTGTCCTTCTCTCCTGCTTTTTAATGTTTTAATTACACACAGTTACATTTTAGAGAAGAAGAGTGCTAATTCCCTCTGAGGGGGGAAAACAACATGGCTTTTATGGTAATTAACAGCAGCCACGTTTCCTTGGCCCTAGTAAACTCAGTGTGAATGTGTAAATGTAGAGAAATATATTGACAACACGGTAAAATGATGCTGTGCATAACTCAATGATCTCCCGGAAGTAAATAACCTAGGTAGG